AAATTAAATTATAATAAAAAAAATTTACATGAACTTTTAAATAGTTGATTTGAAATTAACATTGATATTTTTTTATATTTTATTCAAAAATAAAATCATTATTACTTTCTTAAAAATACATAAAATCGTATTATAACATCGACATAAACAAATAATAAAATAGAACATTAAAATCGAGATGTGTCGCGCTGCATTGTGCGAGTACTCTTCTAGTAGAAAGATAAGGAATATGGTATGGTACGGGTCCAATGTTAGAGTGACACAACATACTGAATTTAAAAATAATTGTTGCATTTCCATTTCTGTAATTTTTTGATAGTTTGAATATGTTACGTTTAAGGATAGAACGACTCAGGTGTCGGTAACTCAGTTGGAGCGATGTTTGAATCCACTTCGTAATTTGCAGGTTATTAAAATGACTAAGCGACAACCCCAATTGGATCACCAACTTCACTTGCATTATTTGCTCTGATTGAACCAATCTGCGTTGGGTCGAGGCTATGCTCTTCAACACTACGCTAGGCTTTTCCTCGTGGCATTTTTGCGTGGAATTTCCCTCCACTATAAGAAGTGTACCATAATTTTCTCATTATATCTTTCTTTTTTCCATTTGACAAAATTGTCAGATTGTAATGTTGTCAAATCGACGTTTTTCAGTTATGGTCGGTATCTACTTTATAACATATTCGGGAACCGAAGGCTCGGTTTGAGAACCATCGGCTCGAGGTTTGGGGAAATTGTTCAAGACTGTTTTCGATCAAAATCCAAAGTTGGAAAGAAAATATTTTAAAATGAATATTTACCGAAATCATAATCACAAATATATCAAAACTGAAACATGAAATCTTAATTTAAACTGAAAGATTTAACAGTTAAAAAGAAAGATGAGATAATTGTGCAGATATTTGGTCCCACGAACGAACACTTCTGTTTATACAGATAATGAATAGCATTTTGGTGAAAACGAAAATCCCGTCATGAAAGACAAAGAAAAACTGCCAGTTCGTCGCCCAACGAATTGTTGCCATGTGGTGGCTAAATTTTGTTTATGATACATTCGACAAGATAAAACATAAAAAAAATGGATCATTATATCATGTTTGACACGATTTTTATGTAGAACAGAGTATAACAGGCGTATTCCACTCCTATCCCGTGGAAAAAAGTAGAACAAGCCCATATTTTACCAAGAGACTCTAAAAATAAGACTTAATTCTCTTTTAAAACACTAAACACGCCTTCCTCTTTACATTTTATCCAGTTTTCAAATTTTATCTTTAAACTTTCACTTTACTGTTCTCAAAAAATTCTACTTTTTAAACGTTTCTTTATTTTGGCTAGTTAACGTAACTTATTAAATATTAGTAATAAAAACATAATATAAAAAGGGTGTAAAAAATTGAAATTTTTTTATTTTTATTGTATGGAGGAAAATTTTCTAATAAAATATTTTCTTATAGAAAATATTTATTTTAATATAATATTTAATAAATTATATAAATTAATTAAAATATAGAAATAACACAAAATAAGAAATAGAATTTGAGAGAAGTAAAACGAAAGTTTAAAGACGCTAAAATATTTATGAATGTGATTTTAGGTATTTTTTATTTTATGAATAAAATATAAAATAAAAAATGTTTTAAGTTTTTTGATTTTATGAATGTGAGTTTTTTAATCAAATATTTGTATTCTTAATTATTATTTGTTAATTTTCATTTAAATTGGTTATTTGATAGAAAAAAAAACCATTAAACAACTTATTAGGGATAAATTGTTCATTTTACCAATCTCGTCTTATCAAACAGTAAAAAATTGTCCCGTCCTGTTATGTTTGTTTTCTATAATGTTTTTTTTTAATTAACCTGGATATCCAACCTGCATGCAAACCGACTAATCTCAGGACGACCACCTGTTTTATGGATAGCCCAGAGTCACCGCATTTGAACCTCCGTGGCCACAAGAGAAATTTTATTTATCTTTGGATTTAAATCTGAGACCTCCTAGTACTTTTGACTTTTGAAGTCAAGCTCAAACCAATCAGACATCACCCTTGTGGTTTTAATGTTTTGTTCCATGCTGTATGGATATCAAACACTTATAGACCTGTTATATAACCGATTAGTTAAAAGGTATCCATAACCGGTTGGACCTAACAGGTCCCTCCTTAACCCGTTACAAGTCGGCTTAAATCGATTAGACCGAACCAGTCCCAGGCCCGGTTAAAGTTGTAGATCTCTAATCGATCCTATTCCGGATCTGGTCATTTAACCAATTTTCAAGACCTTCATATACATATTATGGTCTAAAGCATGTATTTTGAATTAACCTTTTATACATAAATTATGCTTTAAAATTTGTCTCAAAATGAATGTACCGAAATAAATACAGCATTTTCTTTCACAGCCTTACTCAACCTGCTACACGAATTGAGTATTAAAAAAACTACACACGGTAAAATCCATTTCTTTACCATTTGCTTTCACTGCTATACGAGTCGAGAAACGAGCAAGTAAAACGATCAAAACCGCAAGACCGATGGTGGTTTGGCTGCCCTTGTTGGCTTGGATCGAACTCAAACCATGTGGGTGATGGCCACCTCCATCAAACGAGTGTGTGGCACACTCAAAGTTGCGATCCCCCTCCTGCAGTTCTTTCTCAAAAAAGCGTAAAAGTAATTTATGGCCAACTTCTTGATGAACCACGAGTCTTTACGTGCCCTGATGGATACGTGACCGAGAAGATAAACCACCCCTGATTCCTTCGCCATTTGTAGGACCGCGAGCTCATTCTCCAGGCTCTTGTCTTGAACTGAGTTGCTAGGATCCTGTGAAGTGCTTGCTTCTGAGATTATGGGCCGTTTGCTGCTGGTTTTGTTTCGGTATTTGGATAAGAGAGGGGCACCAAGTGAATAGACGCTGCCACTTGGACCAATGAGAACATGTGAGGACTCATCTTCGGAATCGGTATCGTCATCTCCGTCACTCTCCAATGACCTTTCTTTTGCTTCTCGGCGAATGAAATTCTCGAGGCTTTCAATCAGCAATTGCTCGAATATCTGGTGGTTCTCTCTATGGACGTCCTTGTAACCATATCTGACAAAACCCATGTGTTAAACAGCAGGTAATGTTTAACCAAAGAGTTGCCCTAGCAGACTAGCAGTCTGTCATTGGAACCTAATCCCTCTCAAGGCATCAAATACCATGACCAATTCCTACTAGTTTTACAGAGAAGAAAAGGTTTTGGGTGTAATCCATATGGTAAGGTCCCGGGTTGATAGCACATTGATCTGTCCTAGCGATAGAGGAGTGGGTGTAATCCATGTGTGAGGTCCCGAGTTCGAGCCTTGGCACTGCCCTCTGCCGATGATGACCATGGGACCAGTGCAATGGGGGCGCTCAAGAAGATACCTTTCTTTACTGACTGGAATACCTAAAAATTTCCATGACCACGGTGGAGGGGGCGATTTGCATTAGGTCCCATGGCCTAGTTGGGCCATAGCCGTTGGATACCACGGTTACCAAAAAGAATCATGTTTGTTCTAGCAAATTAGTTTTTTACACTTTATTTTCTCTCTAAAACCATATGTATACTTTCTCTATAGAGCTATGTACATCTTTTAGAATGAATAGTAATCATAAAATGCTAAAAAGGCCTACCATACACTAAATTGTAAGCATAATTTTCTCCCTCAAAAACTACACATACTTCTATGTGTACAAGCCGAACGAATTCAACTAATCCACCTCGGAGGTACGGTTTGGGTCCAATGAGATGTATGGAGACCTGTTCTCTACCAAAGAGTAGAGCGGTTGTTTCCATGAAACCCCCAGCTTCCAGAAAAAGTTAAAATTCTTGTACTGCAGTTTCGAGGTAGGAACCATATGAACATAAATGGGCAATGAACTTTAGAAAAAACAGATGTTTACCTGGCAATGCAGCGGAATATGTGGTAACTTCTAGGGCAGACTCGCCGGAACAAGAATCTCTCGCTCGGAGGCACAAAAGGAACCGGGACATATTTTATGCAAACAAAAATAATCATCGAATGGACAGCTGGAAGAGTAGCCAGGAATTGTCCAAATATGGTAGGCACGCCTTTTGCCAGCTCATTGTAAAGCAAGCCGATGCCAGGAGCTCTCACAGTTCCAAGATGGGAACCCAATTGACGCATTACATCCATCGACATCTTTTTCTTGACTTCTGTTTCGTATTTGAGCTTGCTACCATAATTCCATATATACATTATGAAAAATACAGTTATAGCGAACACCAATATGAGCCAGCTTCCATCTTTGATACCCCATAAAACGGATGAAAAAAATACAAACTCCAACCCTAGGAAAAGAACAGAAAAAGACAGCACCAGAATGATGTTTATTTGCCATATAAGAAGCATTACGAGGATTACTAAGATAGTACTCATCATCATCACTCCAATCTCAGCAACGCCTGTATTTGTTTAAAGAAATCTACATAAGGCATGGCGACAACTTATACAGGTCCATCCAGAAAGCAACACAAGGATAAATCATTCAGACAGTAAAATAAGACCATCTAAGCCACAAAAGAGAAGCTACACTTCTGTTGAACAGAGGGGAGAAGTTCCTTTAGGAACCCAAAATTGATTAAGAACCAGGAACCGCACACAGCAAACCACGGTGTCCCTCTTCAGGATGAATATCCATCCTGAATAACACATTCATGGTGAATATGGAAGTGTTATTCATCATGAATCGCACGTTCATGATGAATATGTTACAACATTCATGATGAATATGTTATAACATTCATAATGAATAGCACGTCCATATTCATGATGAATATGCCATGTGTAGCGCTGTGGGCGGTTCCCGGAACCTTCCCCCTGTTGAACACTTGAAGCTGATTTTGTGAACATCAAATATGGTTGGATGTCCTTAATGCAAATCGAACCTCCTCGATCTAACCTTCTTAACTAGTGAAATAAAAACACTCTGCTCACACAAGGCTTGTAAAAAAAAGCAAGCTATTCACAGAAATTAAAAAAATTTAAAAACTATTATAGTCAATTCTCAATGCTCATTTCGCATGAGTAGTAAAAGGAACTCGATGCATCTCAACAAGTTCACCCAGATCCTCTTAGAAGTTCTTTGTGGATTAAATTGGCACTTGAGTCTCAAGGCAAGAGGAAAACAAGGATGATGCATCCACTGAACAAATAAATTGTTACCATATTAAATAGACCTTCGCAATTGAAAGATAAATAAATGAAGAAGTACCATATGCATTTCCAATCTCTTCAGTGCTTGCAATGGAGCAGACAAGAAGAAGAGCAGCGGCCAGCAGAAACCAGTTAATAACTGGAATATAAATCTGACCCATGAATTTGCGAGAAGTATGTATGATCTTGAGGCGAGGAAAACAGCCAAGCGCTATCGACTGTTTGACACAAGTGAAAGTTGCTGTTGCCATTGTTCTACTAGCGATCAATGCAGCAATATTAGCAATGAGGAAGACCGGCCAAAAAGTACTATCTGCAAGCAGAACAGGAAATACACCAAGTATAAGTCAATAAGCCATACACATACAGATATATGACTTCCTCTTGCTAGCTAAGTTGATTGATTTTTTGCTTCTAATATTAACAATCAGGGGGTCTACACTTAAGAAGCAAAATGAAATTCATGTGTGCCAGACTGCTAGAGACAGAGAAGGAGGCTCACTCGGGATAGAAGAAAAGAAAGCCTGTTCTGCATCACCATTGTTATCCATGAGGTAGGCAGCCTGGCCCAGGTAACCCAACATAAGGCATGGAAGTACAAGGAAAGCAAAAATAAGCTGTAAAATAAAAGATTAAAGATAAGTAAGTAGACTCGCATGATCAAATGAAAGCAACAGAAAGGAGAAAGGAAAGATGCGCTTTGCACAATTTTTAATGTTGAGCTTTCTTAGGTTTTGTAATATGTTGCAGCCTTACCTGAACAGCCCTCACAGAAAAATAGCAAAGATCTGCGAACATTGCTTCTGAGCCTAAAGTATACCAGCAGAAAAGAAACAATGAGTGAAACATTGTAAAACAAAACTGAACAATTACAAATTGGCTTGCGTTCCAGAATGAGGTGATCGACTTTCAAAGAAACATGAAGTGCTATTTACATAGTTTCAGAAGGAAGAACAAACTCTAATGGGCCAACTTACAATGTATGATAAACTCGCTTGTGCTTGTATTGTACAAAGTTTTGAAGCATAACTGAACTTTTATTTTGACACATTTTACAAAACAATTTGTATATTGCTACCATTCACACACTACTTGTATCATACAAATCTACAAGAAACACAAGTTTTGAGAAAGAAAAAAATATTTTTTACAACACAGATTAGGATGAACATAGACTAAAAACTGAAAATTAAAGGAGACAATATATAATCGTCAAAACTTCCCTTTCTTGATATTCACATTCATTTAATTCTTTGTATTCTATGTTTCTACTTTTTGTACTTTCTATTGTGAAGTGATTTTTAAAAAAACATTATTTTAACACGTGTTATTTAACATCTGTGGATACTAACCAATTGATTAACTATGATACCTGATATTTATAAAACTAAGTGATCATTAATTTGATTTTGGACAATATTATTTCCAAATCATAAAACAACTAGATTCAAACTTATGTTGCTTCTGTAAGCATATAATAATGGTCACAATGTAAAATATATGTATTATTATAAAAGTTGACATATTGTGTTTTACGAATCTCATACAGTATAGTACAATGCTACTAATTATGTGGTATCGAGTATCTTGAGAAAATATTGTTTTGACTTTAAAAATTTAGGTGCTAAGCTTTAAATATTTGTATACTACATATGTAAATCAGTGGATGCATAATTATCTGAATCATATAAATGTAGCCACTAAAGATCAACTTGCATCATTTCGAAATTGGTTGTTTAAATAGATCTGATCCAAATGGGTTCAGATTGATTCTTTTTTTGGTGTGATTTTATTGAAGCTGTGGTTTTAAATGAGTCGAGTCATATCAGATCTAGTCCATGATGTACCTCATATACAAGTCAAATGCAGTACTAAAAGTCAGATAATATGGATCACAAGGACATTAAGAGCTGACAAACTGTAAGAGAAAGCAGAAAATAGAGAATAAACACAAAAGAATCAAAAATCTAAAACTCCAGCGAATACCATTCTGAATATGCACCCATGTTTAAGGTTTTCTTCTTTGCATTTGATGGTGGTTTCTGAGGTTCGAATGGTAAAACTGGTTGCTACTACGTCAAGGAAAACCAGGATGTAGGGTGTCTAGGGCCGGCTCTGATACCAAGATAAACTTGGTAATTTTGTGTATTGTATATGTAAATCACGATTACAATCAGGGATATATATAAGAGATACATTTACACTCTAGACCCTCTAATATAATTATATATATCACACTTAATTGTCTAATAGTCCTAAACAGCATTTTATCTAGATTGCTAGAACAGAAATATGGAAAGCTAAAGTTAAAATCAGCCAAAGCATTTACCAGTTGCACACAGTAGACATCCACCCAGAGAGTACCAAGCCTTGGTCGAGTCCCTTTTGAAATAGTAATAGATGTGAACAGGATTAAACGCCTTCAAGACACTGCTGTCATGTTTCACAAGGTTATAGATGCCAATGCTCCCAAGGGAGCAAAACCATAGAAATAAGGCTGGCCCAATAGCAAGCCCAATCTTACTTGTTCCAATTTTTTGTACACTGAACAATACAATAAGATATGCAACTGAAATCATCACGACATGATCTGCAGTAGAGGCAAAACAAGATACCTAAACTGGTCAAAAGAATATTCAAATATTTTCAATCCAAACTTGCAAAGAAAGATCAGCAAAAAGGGACGCTAGCACAATAATCTAGGCCAAAATTCCCTTTCACAATTTTACCTCTGGTTAATTTCAAGAACATGTACAGTATCATAATGCCAAGTGTAATTAAATTCAATTAGATTTTTTAATCTGTAACTTTGTAATGAAATCCTGGTAAGGAACCAATTAAGACATTCTATCCCCATCCAACAATAAGCAATTCATGACAAGAAGTCTTCATCACTAAAAAGCCAAATACAAAGGAGAGCCTAAAGAGGATGAATGATGACCCAAAGAAACAGTATGGTGAAACTAAACTAATATACATGAACCAAAAATTAAAACAGATCAGAAAGCATAAGTATGAAAAAATCTTGGCATTATAACAACTACCTCAAGTGATGCTATAAAACCATGTCATGAATGTTTATTTTTAAACCACTTATGTGGTACACCTTCCCAGATATTTAGCATTTGAGATCCTCACAGCTCCCGTATTATCTGAACCATTAATGTCAGAAGTGAAAGAGATGCTAAGTAGGATTGCTCAATCTTGACACGGTTGTTGTGCCTTCTATCTACAATCTTTTGTTAATTAGCATGGTACTACATTTGTGGTCTCTCAAGGTCCTCTAGTGGATTCAAGTCTTGTGCCCATGGTGCTACAAATGATTGGGGTTGCACATGATGACGAGTGTTGAGGGTAATTATTATTTTTCTGAGTTCTATCAACAAGCTTAAGCTTTTTAAAATTGGCGAGTCAGTAGTACCTACACAGCAAACATGGCAAAAGAGATATATAGGACTAGGGGTCCTAGAACAATGCAATTATTTTTAATAAATAAACATCTTCCCTGTAAGTTTTAGAAAAAAGTCTTTTAGCCCAAGACCATATTTTGGAAGTTCCTCTCAATGAGGATGTCTTCTTTAAATTGAAAGTGAAAGTGAAAGTAAAAGATTGTAAAACAATTTCCTACAAATGCACTCAACTATTTATTGGCTTCTGTAAAGCACATCTCCAAAAACTACTGCCAAAAAAAGGCCAGTTACGGAAAGAATTAGACAACCATCATATGGGGATAGAAAAGAACCATGATGCAATCATTTCTCGTTTCTAGACTTTCTACCATCATAGCAAGGCATACTTCCAGCAGATGTTACAAGCTCTTTGTAGTTCAAGGAGCAGCATACAGGGGCGGATGCAAGTAGAGGGTGTAGCCATGTAGGGGGCACTTGCCCCCTACAAACTCATTGCTTTGATTTAAATAGAAGTGGTGGTAAAATTTATTTTAGCTAAAATGTCTATAATGCCCATCAATTAAGCTATAATGCCCCCAATTCTCAAGTTCCCATCTCAACTAGAGTCATTTCAATTCTATATTTTTTTTGTTATAATGGTATTAATTTGTATGTATTGATATTTGTTAATTATTAGTTTCTATTGTTACTTGTTATTTGATTTAAGGTTCTTGAGTTTGTTCTTTTGATTCACAGACTTCTACTAGTTGTCTTTTATTGATGATTTATGGGCTTTTTGTTATTTCATTTCTTTCTAACCGAATCTAATTTGTTCGCCTCTAAGTTTTTCTACTGACTACTAATTTATACGTTTACTAACTATTTAACATTCTAATTTATCTTTCACTGGGCTTGTTACAAATGTGTCTAATTCCAAGTGGCAACATGTTTTATTGCAAACTGGTTCAGTGGTTTATTCCTCTAGTCATCTGGTCCATTATAAATTAGTCTATCTTTATATTATGTGTAGTGTGTCCATTTGCTTTTAGTTTAATCGAAATAGTAAGATATATAAATGGTAGTATGTGTGTTTGGTTTAACTGAAATAGTAAAAAATAACAGAAAGCCGAACTGAATTAATTCTTTTTTATCCGATTCACCGAACCATTTAAACTGAAAATCGAATAATCCAAAACCGTTTTGGTTAGGATGAGTTATTCGATTTTCGGAATTTTTTGACACCCTAAATGTGCCCCCAATAATAAAAGTTTCTGGATCCGCCACTGGGAGTATAGTCAATTGTGCTGCAGGTTCAAGCAGCATATGTGGCTAGCTTAAATTGGGAGAAAATAATGTAGCTACACTGCAATTTACATAACATAATATAGAGAGAAATAGACACTAAATGTGCTGCTACCATCCTCTTGATCATCACAAATAACATAGAAAGATGCAATCATTTTAATTAACTCTCAATTATTGGATCATAAGCATTAAGTGTAGTATCATGTCACCTTCCTCAACCATAGGGAGTCCAACCTTTAAACCACGAACAGCTGACATAACTGCGCAACAGAAATAATTAGTGAAGATTAAAATTCAAAAAGACATCACCAAGATTTCCTGATGAGAGTAACATGACCTTGATGTGTTTTAAAGGTGTCTGTATCAATATCTTTCAAAGAGAAAGAAAAAGCATCGATGAAACTAGTATAAAACCTGACATTGCAGGCGTAACAACCCCATCAGCAATCACCATGGAAGTACCAGCAAGCACCAATATCAAAAGAAGTTTTTTCAGTCCCAATGAAGCTTCAAGGCGCTCCTTTATTCTCAATGACCTCTCAAGTTCTGCAGATGGAACCTTCAGCTTGAGGCTTGATATACGTGTATCAGAAGCAAGCTGATTTGGGAGTAGACTGACCTTAGCATGCCTACATATAAGTGAGTATAGAGCAAATGTGCCACCTGCAACATACACAGTATAAAAAGCAAGCAGCATTTAACTTTTGTACCGATCAGGATATGTATATCAGACAGGCCTCACCGACTAGGCTATTCTTTTGTAACTACAAATACATTTAAGAAAATTATTGCCAAATGTGAGCATAACATTAAAATGAAGTAGGAGCTAACTAGTTAAAACTTACCTTCACCATCGTCATTTGCCCAAAGAACGATGAGGACATACTTGATCAGTGGGATTAATATTAGTGAATATATAACAAGAGATAAAGCTCCAATTATATCTTCATTTCCATCTATTGGAGCCTTGTTGAACATCACAGTAAAAGTATACAATGGACTTGTTCCAACATCCCCAAAAACAACCCCGAGCGTTTGAAAAGCCAGTTTAATACTCTTCCTAAAAGTAACATCCTGCAAATACAATTTTAAAATTTAGAGTGGCAGACAGTGATCATCATGATTCGTCTATAACCTTTGTCAAATTCAACATTCACATTAGTTTTCCTCCTTTTACTCTTTGTACCAAGGGGCGAGCCCTGGAGCAATAGGTAGTTTTGCTCCTTTGTGTTTGAAATGTCATGGTCAGAGTCATGGGAACATTCTCTTCCAAATCCAAGAGGATGATTTTGTACAAAGGATTCCCTCCCCAACCCTCCTGAAGCAATGCATGTGAGGGAAGCATTGCAAAACTTCTGTATAAATGAAGCAGCTACTCATAATTCCATCTCACCATGGACAGTTGAATATTCACATTTATGTGAATGGTTCCATCTCTATCATACCAAGATCAGTTGGATATATAAATAAGCTATGCACTATGATATGAAGTATCATATTAAGTGTTCATAACTTGGGCACCAAAAAGGGAGAATGGATTTGAACTGGTGTTTTTTGGATACTTCAAGTATACCAAAGTATTCTCTAGTCCAATGCCTTTGTTAATTCTTGGAAGCTAAGCATGTTTCTAAAAGGAGGAGAGGAAAGAGAAAGAAAGAATAGTTCTCAACATTTCACATATTCACTTTCCATAAATATTGCATCTTAACACTCAAAAATCATGACTAGAGGCCATTTCTTAGAACACTCGAACCGTTTCTAAAAAGCTGTATCTTAGCACACACAAACCATGAGTTTCTACAGATCTGCATATTTACCAGGCTTCAAGGTTAACCTATGCCTAATCTAGGCAATTAATTTGATGGCAGATGATACAAAGTGGTATTTAGAATTTGACTTTAGGTACCAATGGTATCTTTAAATAGCTTGATTCTAGGTTGTATACGAAGATAGGGAGTGGAATATGAGTCTAGGACTATAGCTTCACTTCTGCAACCAAATTATTTGATAGTAGGTCCAAATTCAAGCCTTAATTAAACTGTGTTCTAAGTCTCTATGGCTACGAATATTACTGGAAATTAGCAGTTATAGGCTTATAGCATGTGGCACAAGCATGGCAAATCAACAACTGAGCCATGCATGATGGACATTTTCCAAAATCAATTGATAAATCACAAATTTAAAAATATACAATATGAGGATGATTTCTATTTAATCATAAAACATCTATTTTAGAGTGAAAATTATGGATAATTAGTAACCACATTAGTGCAATAACAAGCATATAACCTTTTTATCAACACATTTGGTGACGTCGCCTCGAGCCTTCAAGTGGGACATATTGGGTGTGTTTGGTTTGGTTTTTATTTGGTGATGTCGCTTACAAAGTTAGATTTCTCAAATTAATTAGAACATTAGGTATTTTCTTAGTTGTAAAAATAAAATATAAAATCCCAAATAATAGTATTTACTTAATTCGGGCATTTGTAAATGTATATACTATCACTATGAAAAAACAAATTAAAGCATCCAAAGCTTGTAGCCTAGTTATTAAGCTAAATGGGGTTCGTGTGTTATTAAATTAGTTTGATTAGACCCAAAAAGGAATTTCCGCTCAAGTTCAAACACATATTGTTATGGGCCTCTTTCTGCTTTTAATCAAAAAACCTACATTTTACACTTTGCATCATGGCAAACTATGACTTAGTGCACACGGCGTGTATTCTTCGGTTCTTCCCCTAGTGTGCCATTAACATGGCAATGCGCCATATAAGTAAATAGCAACTTCATGCCCCCATGATATGTGCCTTGTGTATGAGTTACACATCCAACCCCGCAAAGAAAAAACTTTATGTGTCTAATACCCAAGAGCCAATCACAAATTTTATCAGCCTTGACATTGGAAATTTATCAAGACAAAACCTTTATGTTTGTTATGTCTGCTTAAATCAATCAAAAACTCAGTCTAGTAATGACACCATAAGATTCTTCAGTCTATGCATTAATATATTAGAAGGTGGTCAAGAATAAATTGATAAAATAAAGAACAAGTAAAACTAAGTGCTTCACACTCAATCGGGTTATCCTCTATCTCAACTTCTTCATTGTGTTAGAAGCTAAACCTATCTGCAATTTTGCTTCATTAATTTCATCTAACGGTTATAACCTCCTCTAAGTGCCCTGAGTACCTTGGCTATCAATCTATCATCAAAATGAAACCATTTAGATCTAGTCTCAACTGTCCCTTCCACCAGAAGTTTGAAACACAAGGATGATTGAACATAACTTGTACCTTTATCTAAAGTGTTAGTTGAGTTAAGTATGAGCTATATGTATATTATGCAGGTTTCTTAACCTTCACTCAATATGTGTTTGCAAATGAATTTCCGCTCAAGTTCAACCAATTTACACCTAAAAGTTGCAATTTGTGGAAACTTGAATTGAATTACTTCACTTTAACTTCGTCTTCAGTTCAGAACCTTGCACCCATTACTTCTAAACCACTTCAAGTTGTATCCAATTATCCATGAATATACCTACTCACTCCATGTCTCCATCCCACCGTGATAGAGCACGTCTGAATTTAAGGTAAGGCCTAACAGTTTCCAATTTCAGAACTGGTATCAAGTTTTCATACTTACAGCACTAAAAAGATTAGCGATTGTTATACTTCAACGATAGTTATCGATTTCCTCTCAAGAAGGTATGAAAGTTATACCAACAAGGAGTTGGACTATAACATTTTAGATTAGCTGGATCAGCTAAGATCGAAACCACTACCATTCAAAATCCAAAAAACATACCTCCAAATCATTCCTCTGAGCACCTGAGACCTCAAGAGTTTCTACATCCAACGAATCAATACGTGGCCCAGTCCGAATCAACCTATGGTCTGCATTATCTTCATCCTCTGAATCCATGCCATTTCGCCACGGCAAATCTTCCTCTCCATCATCACCGATCTCGGAATCATCCTTGTCTTGAAACACCCACCTGAAAGATTCAACTGAATCATTCGAAGTTAATCCTCCGTTCCCCTTACCTGTACTGACACTCACCGATCCCTCTTCTTCAGCCATTCTATAGCCTTGCTTTATTCGTCTTTCCATTGGAGTAATATATGGATTCAACGACGATATTCCGACCGTGGTGACTCCATTTTTGCAGTGTTCAAAAAAAAATTCTTCTCCTCCGAAATCCGAATCAAAACCCTGATTTCTTCTTCTTCTTCAACCGGAGGGGGTGTAATTTACATTAAAATTTTGGTAATGAATCGATTAAGATTTGTCGTTCATATCCACGTCACTTTGCACGGTGTGTAATTTTCTTGTATATTTTCATTTTTAGTCGGTGTTTTTTTTATTATATCGTTTAACAAACATAAATTAACTTATATTTAAATATATATTTGAATGGATATAAAATAGTTTATTAAAAAGTTAATTGAAATAGTTTATGAAATAATGGATATCTGTCTTTATTATGTCATTGGAATTGACATATCTTGAACTGGGTTTGTGAGCTTGATTTAATGATCCATTTATCTAATGAATCTATATTTGTTCTCAGATAATTCTCCATTGATCTAGGTGTTGATTTTGTTGGGGAGATCATTACTGATGAATGTATCTTTTTTTATTAGTTATAGAAATTGAAAAAGCTTTAAATTTTACCAGTTGGACAAAATGATAAGTTGGATATTTATATTCTTCAAAAAAGTTTGGTCCTGCGGATAAAAATTTAAGAACCAAAATATCTTTTGGGGTAATCATTGGGTTATTAAGATAAAAATATTTATCACCCATCATTACCCAATGGGGGTAATTCTGAAATTTCAGGAAAATCGGGAGTATTAAGATATATTGAAGTTATGGTACCAAAATCGTACCAAGATATATCTATTTGCTCTTGTATCTATTAGTATATTTATTAGAAGGAAATTTATTCCATCAAAATATTCACCAATAATTTTGTAGTTTTTTATATTATTTTCCCGGGGTATCACTGTAGGATTAAATCTTTATGAATTTGACAATTTTTTTAAAAAGTAACTGCTTACCCTTGTATTTGAGAAAGATAATCTAGGGTTAACATAATAAAATGTTAACAAATGTTTATCTTGAAGATCTAAATTCATAGATCTATAATCGATTTCTTATATTTTTGGCAAGTTGGGTACCTGTACTTGACATATTTCATTAAATAATAAAGGAAAATATATTCTATTTTTTATACTAAAACAATCTGAACGATGATTATTAGATATAGCAAATATAACAATTTTAATAATGTTTATGTAAATTATAAAAATTAAAATTGTATTTATTTTGTTTCATATAAAATAAAGTTGTGTTAAATAATTTTAATAAATTTAATTTAATTATTAATTATAATTTTTGAAAAATTAATTTATAATTTTTGAAAAATTACTAACTTATTAGAATGTATAAAGTTGACCAATTCTATTGTTGTTTATGTTATATGTAATTGTTATTTAAATCATTAATGGGTAAAATACGTGAAATAACAAACTGTTTTTACAAATTTTCTTATTATAGCATTCTATTTTTAGTTTTTCTTATTATAATAATGTACTTTCAAAATGTTTTTAGGGCATCGTACTTTAAAAAATTACCCGTTATAGCATCGGGTAACTTTTTAAACTAAATGTACCCATTATACTAGGTTTCTTTGTCACCTAATCGTTCATATAGGCTATCCACATGTACGATAGTGCTGACATGACATTTCTTATTATAGCACTGTACTTTCAAAATTACTTTATAAAACATCACAAATTTCTATTACATCATTATACTTTTAATTTTTTTTTATATTTTTATCATTTAAACATTGTAAATTTAATCAAATATGTTTACTAAAAATTATAATATCAGAAATTAAACATGTTTACATAAGATCAATATTTCACAAATGAAAATATTTATAAAAACCTCGTTCATCGAGTTCGTCGTGAATTTCATGGCTTACTTTGCAATGTTAAAAACTAAACAAATGAAACATCTTTTCATAAAAGAACCCATCTTATTCATATCGTGTAAACTTCATGACTTACTTTCATGGTTTTTTTTTTTTTTTTGAAAAAAAATATTCTACTTGTTTAGTTTTTGGCATTACAAAGTAAGCCATGAAATTTACGATGAACTCGATGAACAAATGGTTTTTTATGAATAGTTATATTCGTGAAATAGTGATCTTTCGTAAACATGTTTAATTTCTGATATTATAATTTTTAGTAAGCATATTTGATTGAATTTACAATATTTAAATGATAAAAATACTAAAATTAAAAGTACAATGTTTTAATAAAAATTGATGATGTTATAATAAAGTAATTTTGAAAGTACGATGTTATAATAAGAAATGTCATGTCAATATAATCGTACATGTAAACGGCCTATGTGGATGATGAGGCGACAAAAAACCTTAAGTATAACAGATAAATTTTTTAAAGTATGATATCTTAATAAAAAATATTTTAAAATTGCATTACTATAATAAAAAAAATATAATAAAAAAATTTATAAAAGTAATTGTTATTTCACAATTTTTTTTACAATAATTTTTTATATAAAGGCCCATATCCCATCAATTTGGGCCCAAGATCAATAAGGCCCACAATCGGCAAACGACGGGAGACGCGGAGAGAGACACTTGACGTCATCTGTAAATATACTATCATTCTGATTCCGTACCACCATATTTTTTGTGTTCCGGAAGCTTCTCAAGAATGGCACGATGAAACGCACTACTTCAAACAATTCTCACGAACCCTAGCTCTCTGAAAATCCCCAAACGTTTTTTTTATCGTCGATCGATCAAATCAATCGCCTCGATTTTGTAGTTTGTAAGAGCGAAAGAAACGATGTCTCACTTTGGCAGATCAGGTCCGCCGGATATTTCAGACACCTACTCTCTCCTCATCCTCAATATTAGTTTCCGTGAGTATCTCGATCTTCATCTTTTGCTTTGATGTTATTTGTTGCTACCGGCGTTATAATTTTATAGGCGTGCTTTTGTCGATCTTAGTGATTAAGAAACAAAGGATTGTTGGTGTTTGGAATGATCAAGTATGTGTATGTACAGGGACGACGGCCGACGATTTGTTCCCGCTTTTTGATAAGTACGGAAAGGTTGTTGATATCTTCATTCCCAAAGATCGAAGGTCTGTTGTATTTCTCTGCCTTCTGCTTGTATTATGTTGATTTTATAGGGTCTCTTATTCATGGAAAAGTTGATGGAATGATTGGAACTTTGTCGTTTTTCCGAACCTTAAAACTATCACGATGAGTATTTATGTTTATTATATTCATACTAACGACGGAATCGAGATTCATAGTATATTTTGCGATATAATTTTGAATATTTGGTCCAAATGATTTGTGTCGGATTCCTATGGATTGCTTATAAAGCTTTTAGACACGGGTTGGGCAAGGCTAGTCCTTAAACATGCGTCTTTATTTTAGTTTTACATTTTTGGAATGATTGTTTATTTGCATCAGGACTGGTGATTCGCGTGGGTTTGCATTTGTCCGGTACAAGTATGCAGATGAAGCACAGAAGGCAGTAGATAGGCTTGATGGTAATCATTATTTTCTTTATTTGGTCTTATATATGGCATATGCTTGAAGTAGCTTTTTGGCTTCTGTTGATATTTATGTTATATGATATGTTGAACTTACACAGTACTACTAGCTATAGAATGTCAGAAGTCATTCTGGAGTCTTTTTGTAATCAGTTGTGTCTTTGATATTCTTCTCAGGAAGAGAAGTTGATGGTCGAGAAATTACTGTTCAATTTGCAAAATATGGACCCAATGCTGAAAGGATGTAAGTTTGTAGGTTTCATATGTTCTGGTATTATCTTCTGCATTTGAGGTTCCTATTGTTTTCTTATAGTTAATATTGTGGTTTGCTACCAAAATGGAAAAAGTTGGCGAAGATTGAAGGAGATTCAAAACTTTGTTTCTTGCAATTTTTATTTATTTATTTAGTCTAGTCAACAACCTTCGTTGGATTTATATCAACCTACTGTTTTTTTTTTATCACCATTTCTATTTGAGAATTTCTCTGTCTCATTTTTGTGCTTGTATGTTTGCAGTCACAGAGGAAGGATCATTGAGAAGTCTCCGAGGAGCCGAGGCAGGTCAAGAAGTCGTAGTCCTCGAAGAAGGTTCTTTAATCTATATTATGAACATCAGTAGGTGTAGATGGTAATCTTGTGCTGTTACATAAAACATTAATGTCAAAATAAGTAAGCATGGGGGATATGTTTTTCTTACAAAAATTAATGCTGCTATTGTTGTAGTATTGCACCATATTCTATTTGATTTGCTCTCATCACAGCCAATGGAAATATAGTTGCACCGTTTCTGAAACCATCATGCATGATGATTGATGATTGAAACCACTTTCTTTATATATATATATTGAACTATATCAAGTATTCTTGTTTTCCAAGGATGTTTGCAGTCTCCTCTCAAAGTCTATTTCTGCCCTATTATTTTCAGTGGCCCTTGATTCTGATCATTGACTTGGGGATAGTGCTTTACATTATCAATGAAATTATTGATTTTAATGTGACTGTTTGTATTTTCCACGCCTTAATGCAAATCTTCTTATGATGCAACTTTCAGCTCCAGATATCGTGATGATCATTATCACGACAGGGATTATAGGAGGAGAAGTCGCAGCAGGAGCAGGAATAGGTATGATAGGTACCATGGCAGGGAACGAGGTTATCGCTATAGAAGCAGGAGTCGTAGCTATAGTCCAGACTATGATAGAAGTCGTGGTAGGGGACATTATGATGATGAGCGTTGGAGCAGGAGTCTCTCTATGGAAAGGTTGCCAATTTCACATATTCAGGATATTGGATTTCTTTTGCTTGTTTTTCTTGTTTTTTCAGTTATACTTCTGGAGTTATAACTTGCCCTTGATGCAGTGCTAGTCCTCGAAGGAGCTTGTCACCTCGCAGGACCCCTCCTAGGGGTAGAAGCCCTGATAGCCGCAGCCGATCACCAAGCCGTAGTCTTTCACCAAATGGTCGCCATCTTGATTCTAGTAGTCCTTCACCACGTAGTCCTGATGAGGTGAGTTTCTGAACTAAACTAAGTAATTACAAATTATTCTTTGATAGAGGTTCTCTTATTCTCATTTGGGTTTCCTGCAGGAGTGACTGTTAATCACATGAGCTGGAATTCTGAATTGATCTCTCTTGTTGCCATCTTGATGCTGTTCAGCGATGTCTTTCCTAGTAGTTTTGGTAGGACTGGATCCCTCCATGATTTTAGTATCATCAGTTTGACTGGTTTATGAACACAGTAATATGTAGGTTGCTTGCTACCAGTAAATATGGTATGACTGGTTTGGATTCGACTTTGTGAATGATAGTGTTTGCTATTAACTTCCCTGAACTTGTTTTTGTTGAAGCTGATGACCATCTGTTTCTTACTCTTGTTCCCTTTATTCTTTGACTCAAAAAATCATTTAGTTAGTTTTTGTGGTGTTTGTACTAACTTGACATGACACACACTGGATTTTATAGTTATGATCGAGAAAAGATAGATTGGGGCCGATGGCTGTGATGATGATATTGTGACCTGTTGATGCTGTGTATAGTCTGTAGATTATTTGAGAGAATGCTGTTTGCAGCAGCAGGGGGTGAGGTTGATTTTTACATGAGTTACAGTCCTGGTGGTAAGTTTCTCATGGGCCTGCTCTTTTCCTTTATGCCCTTTCACACTTCACCTGTTAATTGGGTATTTGTCATACAAAAGTGGGCAGAAAGAGTGTGTAGCTGATGCTTGTCCTAAATTTGCCGCTCACAGGACAGGGTAACAAATGCTCGTATTTGTTTCTAATTTTGTTTTTGTGCATAACATATTATTATTTGTTGCATCTTGCTCCTCCTAAGTTGTAGCACCAGTGTTCGTGACTGTTGCTGTGAAGTCGTAGCTGATTTCAGATCCTATCCTATCCTAGTAAGTTATATAGTGGGTGATGTGTATGTTTGAAGGTGAGGTGGTAGATCTTGTGGTTGCATGGTCGAACCAAGTCCTTGCCTGCTGCCTTAGTTAACATCACATCTGATGATTTGAAGTTTATCCTATGCACGGCTGCAATTGCGAATCATTGAACATCTCGAGCTTAAGCTGTCATATCGTCTCTTTCTGGTATATAATCATATGTAAGAGCGAAACATATATATGCATGTTTTATTCTTCTGGTATATAATACTCAGACTGGTGGACGGAGAATATGTCTGTATGTGCATTGATTTTGCTAAACAGCTCATTGGTAACACAGAGGAGACCAGGACGGATGGGTTTGCATTTAAAATAAACGTACCATGTGCTCTTTTTTTTGAAGTATATAATATTTATATACGGCAAATGCAACAAATAGATACATTCCTCACCTTTGGTTAGATTTGAACCCCTGACCTCCTAGGAGGCCAAGGGCTATGATACGTTAGGCCAAAGGCCCTTTGGTTCACCATGTGTTATTAGGTTGTAGAAAGTAGCCAGGTTGTGTTTCTGGTACACAAAAGTCCTGATGATCATAGTTTTAAGTCGAGTTTCTGATTGCGAAACAGGGATGGTTGAGGAGTATTGTTGACAATTTGGGTCTGGTATTCATGTCATATGTGACTTGAAATATAAATGCTAAAAGATTGATGATATGTGATGAAGAAAAGAGTCTGGAGATGAGCATTCCATCGTTTCCTCTTAGTTTATTAACAAACATTGGCTTAATAACATATAATGGGCTGTAAGAAACATAACCCAAACTAATGGTTGGATGTCGTCTGTTGATGGCAGAAATTGTAGTGTAAATCTAAGGTCTTCAATGCTATGTGAACTAGGGATTTTTGTGTGCAAAAAAATGGTCACCTGTTGTTGCAATAAGATTAAGCTAGTGGAAAACCAAATTTATGCCTTTAATACTATAACTAAGAGGGTGTACGTGCAATGTAGCAAGATACATCTTTATTTGTTATAATGTTTTTATTTTTGAATAAAAATAAATTTGTGATATCATAAAATTTGAAAAATATATTGATATTAATATTAAATTAATTATTTAAAAGCTCTTGTTTTTTTGTATAATTTTTTTAATTCATTTTTTTATTATAATTTAATTTAAGAATAATAGCAAAGTAATTTAGTTTTGTTTTAACAATATAATTTTATAAAGATGATGATTTCTTTTAAATTCAATGATTATTTTAATTATATTTTAGATTTTTGATATATTAAATAAAAAATTTATCTTGTATTTGATTATATTTATAAAATGGAAGTTTACTAAGTTATACTTACACATAATTTATTTGTAATTTTAAACTTTTAGTATACATTAATACATAGTACTTTATGTAAAAGAATGGTTTTTAAAAGTTTTTTTTATTAAATACTTTATAATATAGTATAGATAGTGGAGTATTATTTGAATTTAAGAAATCAGAATCAACTAACCTCAAAACAAGACAAGTTGTTGATGTTGTTTTTCTGCACTAAATGGACTTGTCTCCCAAGTGCCATTTTCTTGTATATCTCCTCATCATGTGAAAACTTCAAGTGGCGTAGGGGCTGTTTACCAACACTTACTTGGGTAAGTATTTACCGGCAAAATTTAAAACTATCAATTACTTACCGGGTAAGATTTTAGTTCACTAAAACGATATCGTATGCAACAATTAACTTGGTAAGTGCTAACCGTGGTAAGAGTTGTTGCCGTCACTTACCGGATAAGACTCTCAGTCCTTACCTTCACTGTTACCAGATAAGATTCTTGATCTTTGTTATATTGATTCAGTAAGGAATGTAACTTGGTAAGCGCTTACCTGGATAAGCGTTTGGTAAACGGCTTAGTGTTGGTAGGGGAGACAATCGATAAACATTTCAATAGTGTACAAGTGTCTAGTGAGATTGGAATAAGAATTACTATTTAAGAAGTCGAAAATGATAGATGGAAATGGTTCAAGGTATATCAATTACTATTAGACTAGTTCCTTGCTCTCGTGTCGCATAGATAGTTCGGTCATGGGGATATTCTGGAGTGAAAAAAAGGAAGAAGGAAAACATAACCTAGCTACTGAAATCCAAATCGGAAGGGTGAAAATAACAAAATGTGATTTTTGCTTGTTCACATGATATACAGTTCTTTAGATTGGGATAAGATACATAGTAGAACAAAAAGTTGTTGTTCCATGATTGGTGTGGCAGTTGGTCTGGGACATGACTTAGTGGCACAAAATTATACTTTTATTGTCCTATCAAAATAGATGGAACAAAAATCAGGAAGATAAAACAAGATTGGTAAATTATTATATCACCTATGTCAAATTAAACCTATAAAATCTTTAAGAATTCTTTCACCTGCATACATTACTTTCTCCCATTCCATTGTAAAAGACATAGAACCATCGAATAGTTCGTAGTGCCAAGAAAATGGTTTAAAAGTGAACAAAAGTAATTACTATCTTGTTGACGTTGGGTACACCATACACTAATGGAGAGGTACTCGGCAGAGGTCAAAGATATAATGTTAAATACTCGGTTGAATGGACGTTGATCAGAAAAGGCCAAAGACTACTTTACCATGAAAAACTCGTCTAGAAGGAAAGTCACGAAACAATATTTTCGGTTTCGTAAAGAAGTTGGGGTGTAATTATAATTCCATCGTTTTGCATATTATAATGATCGTAAACACAAACAATGAGAATGAGGATGAAGGGGCCGTTTACTAAACGCTTATCCGTCACATTACCTTACCGGATGAATATGATAAGTACCAAGAGCCTTACCCGGTAAGTGAGGGCAACGACTCTTACCACGGTAAGCGCTTGCTAGGTAAATTGTTGTATACGATGTCATTTTGGTGGACTAAAATCTTACCTTATAAGTAAATAATAATGTCGAATTTTACCGATAAGCACTTACCGGGTAAATGTTTGGTAAACGACACCGAAGATGGAGATGGAGATCTTAAATCCTATATCTTACTCAAGGTTCACATACGGAGGAGGTATATATCAAATTGGATATAAGGTATGCCGGTATGCGTATAAAACTCTTAATACCATATTATTTCGATGTAACATGCTACGGACACAGTTGAAGCATACATCAATTTAACGAGGTCAGCTGATCGTTCACAAAATAGTGTAAAACAATAATCCCAATATCGTTCACGAAACGGTGTAAAACAATAACCGACTGGGATTAAACGGTGAGTCTAATAGGGTAACTATTTCATATAATTTTGCAGTAAAAAGTACAAGGAGCCTAAAAAGTGAATTTGAAAAATCAAATCTGCTTAAGTTAAGCTTACATTACATGTCTCCTCTTTACTTTGTACAAGATATGAGAAAGAGACTACACCTACTAGTTTGTGTTTGCTTCTCCTGCCGGTAACTCATCGTAGGCCCCGGTTTCTTGGTTATATGAATACCTGATAAAAGATGAAGCCATTAGAAAACAAATATATAACTTCCTTCGTTATCGTGTATCCGGTCAAATTTCAGAATTTTGAGTGAAAGAAACAAGATTAGAACGCAAATTACGGAAGTTTAAACGATAATCTAGAGGTAAGTTTCTATATATAGCCACTTGAGAACAAACTAGCATTAAACAGTCTTTTTAACCAATGAAAGGTCGGCATACATTTTACCCTTCCTACACCCTACTTTGTGTAGAATTTACTGGTTTGGTTTATAGAACAAACCAGCATAAACAAATCTGCGGATCAAAAGCATTCACATGTGAATCAATACAAAGGAAGTATGGAACAATGAATCGATGAATGTTATATGGACGTAAAAAGGAACTTCTTGAAGTGTAAAATTTTCTAATAGAAAGAAACTGTAATGTATTGATATAACCAAATACGTATACTTTTATTATGAAGTTCTATAGACGAACTAATTCTTCTTTAACATGACTACCATCGTGAATAAGTCAATACATGTAAATTTTATTTTTTTAATCATTATAGCTTGGTCTATTCGTTACAGCTCGTTGACATTAGTTGTAGATAGGTGGGTTGTCTCTGAGTTAACTCGGGACCATCCGTACCAAGTTATTGAATTATATATTGGAGCAGAAGATAAGAGGAAGTGCCTAATGTTTGTCTATTTCGGCAACAGGACCTACTAATGGATTGGTTTCGGTCAAAAATAACTTGGCTCAGGAATTAACCATCACCAAGTCTCTTAACCAAAATAGCCTGTTTACTGAAGACCCAATCCGCCCTATAAAAGTAAAGTCGACCACGTTCCATATCAACCCGGAAAACCAGCAGGAAAACTAACTTCTTCTTTAAAGAAACAACTAAAGAGATTGCAAGTAATCATCTTTATAAAAAATAATATGGCACGACACAGGAGTAAAATGAAATTTAATACGACCCTATATAAGACGAACCAGTGACAGGACATTCACAGGAAAAACCTTGATCTAGGCTTGAATTCAAAACAATTAAATTGGAACAGCATGAATATAATAACGTAGCATATGAATCTTCATAGTCTTGTTTATTTGGATGATCAATTCCCTCATCTGTGTTTTTCCAGCTTTTTTGAGGTTTACATGGAGTCTAATAATTGATAATGAAACTTTAAATGCTTGACAAACTACCAAAAGATATAGCATGCACGAAAAGTGTATCTTACCACTGTCCAGAGGCTGCATTGCAATATAGTGCTGAAGAGGGGTCATAGTAATACCCCAAACTACTGCTGTAGTAGTACCTGGAAAATTAAAATAATGGAGTAATGTTTAGTAGTTGCTGAATGGTTTAGTGCAGAATGATTAAGAGGCTTTCATGATATAGTGCAAAATAAAATATAATTGTTTGGTAATTATTTACAATGAAATTAGGGCGCTGAATGGTTAAGGAATACCCATGATGCAAAATCATTCAGAGGATTTTAGAACCATTAAGAGGTAGACTTTTCTTTTGCCATACAAGATTCACCTCTTAACGATTCAGATGTTACCTCTTAATGGAACTATTAAGAGGTAAATAAACAACCCCAAGTCAAACAAACTGACAGAAAAACAAAGAAAGCAAACGAGTATGTGATGCAAGAGATAATGTTGTGCAGCGTTAAAAATCCGTTAGTAGATCATAGATGATATCTTCAAATTCGATTAACATCACCCCCACAAAAGCCCTATAAGAGATTGTAGCTCCTTTTTTCTGCCTAAAAATCCTTCAAGACTATAAAACCCCATGTTGGAAGAATTTTGGTGCATCTAGAAAGAAAAAAAAGGCTAAAGCTGCACAAATAGATCTTTTGTTGTACATATCAGACAAATAAATAACAGATGAATATTTTGAAACATTTGTGGGAGAGGAGCAATAGGCTACAGGGTGGGCACACAGTATTCTGACGTTCCTGACCATACTGGTGTACTTAGGATCTCGAAAAAACTGCAACAGGATCCAACATAGACTATTAAAATGTGATGTATCAAAAGTTGTGGAGCATTTCATGGTTCCTCATAGGCAAACACGCAAAAAACATAGATATTGTCCACGCATATATATAAATATACGCACACACAGATGCATACCCCGAAGATTCATCAAATACATAATCGTTTTGTGTAGGCCCAGTACCTACAATGAAAAACAAATTCGAGGTGCTATAATGTAACAATCCAAGGAATAGAAAATATTTTGAAAGCTAAATCATTACATTTAATCTCCACCAGATAACATATCTCCTTACCAGCCAATGGATCGACAGTAGCATTTCCATCATCATTTTCAGCAAACATGTCAAAATCATCCTCATTGTTTGAAGTATTATCTGCTCCTTGTATTCCATTGAGAATGAAGTCAGCAGTCCCAGAAGAATCGGGTTGCTTGTTTCCTGAACTTGAAGAGGTGCCCGCTCCTCTAGCCTGTGCTAGCTTTTCAAATCCCTCTGAAGACGGAAAAAAGTTGATTAAAAATGAGAGTACTGCTAAATGCTAACAACATTCCAATAATTAAAACATAAATATTATATTCATCCATAAATATTGTTCAGCAGGAATCTTCATGACAGCCAAAAAGAAATAGAGCTGGCCATAGGTAGAGTTCGAACCTGCTTCCCTCTGAAAGACCTCCTGTTTTTCATCATACACGTCTGCAGCAACAAATGATTACACAAATTCAGAACGCTAACATCCATCATATGAGATTCTAAAATAGATGTTAAAAGAAGATAGTCTCAACTGTAGTCGCCATCCTCCATCAGTTTCATGGCATCTTCAGTTAATTGATCAAACACAACTTTTGTTTCAGCTGACATCTTTTCCTTCCTACTATTTGAACTTCCTTTCAGCCTTCTTAAAGCTTGCAAGACCTGGAAAGAGTATATACAATATATATGAGATTGCTGCAGCAAAAAATTGGTAATGAAGTGAAATTAGATCCCTTTTTTGGTTTTTTTGTTGGGGGGAGGATTCCAAATTTCTAATCACTATTATGAATTCTAATTCTAATTTATGGTTGGCTCAGTTGGACTACTAAATTTTAGTATCCAGGCTCCACTAAAGGAAAAAAAACAAGTGGTAGAAGGTAATACATTATCTTATATCATATAGGATTCCTATATTTAAGGATATCCTTTGTTGCGAGTAGAAATTGTTTCAAAATTCTAAATGGTATAAAAATTGTAGATTTTAATAAAGGTACCGCTGCGGAACCATTTATGTTTAGCTTTTCTGATAAAATTTAAAAATTTCTGCTTCTTTTTAAAGTATATTGAGTTATGTTCAAATACACAATTTGTTTCTTAACTAATAGGAAACTAATCTTTAAATGAATTTAATCTATAAAAATTAGAAAACTATTTTATGCTGACCTAATTTACAGCTGTGATTAATCTCTAACACCCATAAATAGATAACTTTGTTATATCCACCGATACAGCTAATGTTGGTAAGGAAGGGAGGGAAGGAGATCTTCCTCTATGAAAAGGTTGTGCTTCTATAGGGCACATTCCAAGGGGGGTTCCTTGATTGGCAAAGGGCAGATATTGTATGATAAAGTACTCTCTCCTTTCTTTCTCTGACCCATTTGGTTCTTTGTTCATCTTGCATCTAGGAAAAAGAAATAACTGCCTCTTCATTTTCATCCTACGACCTAAGTCAAGGTCTAGATTGGCTTCCGCCCTTGCGAGTTCATATTATAGTAACTAAGACTGCATCTGGTGGGTTGGGATCAAAGCAGGGACGAAGTGGGTGGATTTTAAAGGATTGAACAAAGATTCTTTGGTTGGAAAGCATCAAAGAACTTCAATGAAGTCAATCCACCAAGAAGGTGTTTGTCATTCCATAGGAAGGGCATTCGTTTTCATTAGTAGCCACAAATATCACCCTTCTTCAACACAGAAACAACACATTTTATCCTTTTTCTTCAGCATTCATCTACCTCATATTTTTACCACTCATCTACTAGGGTAGAAATCGTTACAAACAACTTCACAGCTAGTGACATGTTGACATAATGATACTATCACTATTGACATGATTCATATCTACATTGGGCACAAACATAAAAATCAAGAAGTGATCTCAAAGTATTATGAACTTCTAGCATAGAGCAACTGCAACAAGTTAACCGTCAATTAAATAAAAAGATGATCGGTACAGTGCAAAGTGATTCAATTCTTTATCATAACATGTATGTCCTTATAACAGCATATTATATGATACCTTATGTGTATATTAGACAAGTAGTAAAATATACAAAATTTTATCCATCAAGAAATTCTACAATTGTAAGTCAAGATGATAAATAAACGGAGGGACGGAAAACCAATTAATATACCAGATTTCCTGTATATGCTAGCTACTAAAATTAGCAGTACACAAAGGCATGAATGAAAGCTACATAGTTGCAAGATTGTGTCATAACCACAAACTTACCGTCTCCCCCGGTTCAAGCACATCGGCAATTCTTCTCTTAATATTTCCAATATCTTCACTTGAAAGGTCAGCAGCTTCAACAACATCATCTGTAATCATAGAATGTCTTTCTGCAAGATTTGGATCAGCATCAATGCTATCAAGCCATGCATCCTACAAAAGTACTAAGTGAAATGAGAGTAAGAAGAAAGAAGTTCACTTAATGACAACCAATGATCATAATACTGTACCTTGATGTCATTAGTAACGTACTCAACATAATTTCCTGTCTTGTCAAAAAATCCTTCTTTCCTTTCTTGTTCGAGATTGAAAGGTTCAAGCTGAATTCCATCATCAACGAGTGTCTCGTTATCCTGCCAAAGCAACCACCCATCATTGGTGTTCTTCAAGTAGATACAATATCAACAAAGTAGAATTTGAAATCCATTGCATTTGGTTAATTTTGATAAAGTGGTAGTCCCCTCAATAGAATGAATTCATTGACAACTTTGTCAACTCAACATGGTGCTAGAGCTCTAAAATTTCTTGACAAAAATTTTACTCATCTGATCAGCATGGGACCATGTCAATGGAAGTTGCACCTAGTCCAGTGCATGGACAGTGATTCATCTACATGGTGCAAATGTGGTATATGTTAAAGCTTTTGAAGAATAAAGGTCTACGTGTAATAGCTTATAATTTTAGATAGAATCTGTCAGCAATTTGTAACCTCCCATGCATCGATATCAATATGCAAACAAAGCCATTAGCATCTTTAGAACCAAATTTAGGAATCAAAGATACCAAAAGGCCACTTAGAGTAGCTATCTCATGAGTCATGACAACATTTGATACAACTTGCTATTGACACCCTGTATACATTGCCTACAGAAACATACATTTCATGTAATATCTCCCTCGATTACAGCACTTACAGTCGCTACAGTTCCACTGAAATAAACAGCAACAAGTATTGCCTACTGAGAAATGAGAAATACGACTTGAAACATTTTAGCTTCATAGACATTCCTAAAAAGGTTAAATTCTTTCGATTAGAGACAAGAATACTGGAGCTAAGTTGGATAGCTGAAAGTTGATTTTTTTATAACTTTCAATGTTCCAAAAGGCATTAAATAGAGCTAGAAGGCCGATTGACTTCATTAAGTCATTTATTTTGATATAAAAATATCGAAATCTATGGAGGTTAAATTTTTTGATAAATTACTTTTCTAAATGAATAAGTGTATTGTTCCCTCGCTCAGCCTCATGAAGGATGAACATAAATATTATGATACAAAATTATTTTGATTTTAGTTTACGATGCGACAATGTTTGATTGTGCTAATCTACTCTTAAAGTAATTGGGCTACAAAAGATAGAAGTTGATTTTAATTTGGGTTGTAATATTTCTTGAATCCAGCTAAATTAGTTTTTTAACAGGACTAAGTGGCTAAGAACCACCCAACCATTTAGTTCATTAATCAGTCAATAAGGTAAACCCGACTAATCCTTGCCTAGCTCGATCATTTTGTTTCAATTTTTGAAATGCTTAATCGAACTATTAGTTGCTAATCTAAGCAGTGAGGAGACACTTAACACCCAGGCAACAGACTAAGTGGCCCTAAGCAAGGATATTTTAGAATATTGACAATTTCATGACCTCAACTCAGGTTATGCATGGATATCAATCTAGCAAACCTACTCAAGTAAAGCAAAGCAAGTCAAGAGTGGTGCCTGATTGGTTTGAGCTTGGCTCCAAAGGTCAAAAGTGCCTGGTGGTCCCAGGTTCAAATCCAAGGAGGAATAAAAATCCCCTTGTGGCCATGGAGGTTCAAATGCGGTGACTCCAGGCTACCCACAAAGCAGATGGTCGCCCTGGGATTAGTCGGGTCGCATAGCGGGTTGAATATCTAGGTTAATAAAGAAAAAAATCGAGGCTAAACCTTCAAAGCTAAAACATATTTTAGCACCTCAATAGAAATTTCCTGATACCAAGTTTCAAGATATAAAATTAATTGTTTTTCTCTTGCTTTATATGTGCAACATCTAATTGCGGGGAACAGATTTCAGATTGACATCTTTCCGGAAACATCAATACATTTGCCTGTTGAGCCAGACACTACTCATTATGTAGGATTCTTAAGGCCCCTGTTTTCCCCTACCTGTTGTATAGATAAAGCTTCCAGCCTTCCACAACTACTACTCGTGTCAAATATCAAATTTAGAAAATCGACATGTTCACGTACGACATGCTGTGACTTGGCAAAAACAAGGCGTGCGTATACTTCAAAGGGTATTAAAGAATATTAACATGCAGATGAAAAAAAGGCTACCAAGGATACTATTCTTACTACAGTAATAAAAATGACAAATTTTCAATTGAAAATATTTGCACCTTATGGTTGAGGTAAGTACAGGTAGTACACTAGTATGCTTGTTTATCCTCCAGTTTATTTGTTTGCTTAAAAGTTATCATATCTAGAATTATATGCTGCTTGTCGACATAATACACTGGTTTGAAAATATAGTCATAAACATAATTTAATGAGAGCTATGAAAGAGAAAATAGAGATTGAAATACCTCATACTGCATTTCGGCAGCTGCTACGACATCAAGAAGATCCCCGTTTTCTTCATTAATGAGTTCAGCTTTATCCTGATGCCGGCGCTTCAACCGTGCTTTTGCTACAACCTGGGTGTCTTGCAACTCTTTAGATTCATCTTCAGCAACTGGGGGTACAATAGCCGCCACCACTTCATCTTCAGGCTTCACCTTCTTTCCCTTTGGGAACCTCACCCTCTTTGCCCTGCAAACACATTATTCAAGCGCCACAAACTAAGCAAAATCCCTAATGAAACAGAAAAAAATGATGCATACAGTGTCTAGTTAACTTAATCCCAGGAACAAGCATTTGTAACAGGAGGCAGAAGTTCAAATTATTTAGAATCTCCCTCTGCTACCCAAGTGAGTAAGTCGAGCAGTAACTAAGCGCCAATGAACCAACCATAAGTTCCCACTGGGGATCAACTAACAATGCAAACACCCATTAATTTGCTTATAAATTCCAGCAAATCCAAGCAAAGGCTTCATGTTTCTTTTATACTGCCGCCATATCAAATCAAACATCCTTTTCCTTTGCAACACACGGAAGATGTCAATATTTCCAGGCTTAGGGTGTCAGGTGTGTCTGAATTGGGTGCGGCAGCTAAATTTAGGCACATAACTATCTTATTTTGAATAACTCAATGTAGCTAGGCTGGACGAGTTTTCCTTCCAAACAAGACGAAATAAATGGATTAACTCAAACCGAAGATCAAATTTAGTTGAATACAAACCCTAACAAGAACAAATCTTCCTCTAAAAGTAGAGAGAGAAAGGTAGAAATATTTACGCAGGTTTTCGATTAAATTCATCAGCATCGCCATCACCACCACCGTCGTCGTCGGCGTGCGGTCGCTTACGGGAGGGTTGCGCCTCCATATGGTATTGTTGTTCACACAACAACACTCCCCCAATTTTGTTGTTTTCATATAGCAAGGAAGGCGGTGAGATTTTGATTGATACACCGTACAACCTTCTGAAGCGTGGGGTATACCGTACAAGTTACAACTATACACAGCGTCTCACTAAAATTTAGATAAAACATTAAACATAAGTCAAAACGACCTTAGATATAATCAAACTTAAAAGTTGTTTGTTTACCTTTTAATAGTTTCATTAAAAGTCAGCATTTAAATTATTAAGAAATGAATCTTATTTGAGAAAAAAAATATGTCTTTTAATGATTCTAGAACCCTCTGAATGATTTTGTATCTTGCACATTTCTTAACCATTCAACACTCTAATTTTGCTATAAATAATTATGAAACAATTATATTTCATTTTGCACTATATCATGAGAGTCTCTTAACCATTCTGACTACTTAATCATTTTGTACCAAAACATTCAGCAACTGACAAACAACCCCTTAGACCAAAGTTCCAAGTACGTGTTGGGTTCGTCATGTTGAAACTTTAATATATAATTTTATAATTTTGACTAAGTTTTGAAGATTTTCCAACTCAATTAAATATCGAGTGGCTTCGAGTTGGGCTAGTCACGTTAGTCTGGTATTTATGCACCATTAGTCAGTCGTCAGGTGGTAGGAACATATGGACCATTTTTAAGAATTTGTAAGACTTAGTTGTCAGCTAAAAAGAGTGTCATCCAATTTTTCCAAAAAAAATGTCCTTTTAGTTTAGCATTCTACTTTAAATGTTTTTTTTTAATGGGCTTATGGAGCTTAGGTATTCAAAGATTGGTCATCGAGTGCAAAGGTATAAAGGAACTTGATTACAAGGCCTATGGTGTCGACTCGTCATTGGTGATCCAACGGTGTCGAATGGAAGGACCATCGCTCGATAGATAAAAGTTACTTTAGGAATAAACATGTTAATCTTCTTCTAGAACTTACATCGACGAGAAGGAGTAAACTGCCCAAACTGTCGTAATCAACCAAAAACCCTCAAACTCAAAATTTGAAATTCGTTTTAGTCCCGTCTAACCCTTCACTTGAATGTCCATTTTTGTTGGTCCTGGGATGTAATTACTTATACAGAATGTGTTTGTAGCAAGGGGATTGAATACAGATATAACAAAATTTCACTTTTAGTTATATATTTTGTATTAAAATAAAGAATTACAGATTTGTTGCGGATATTAAGAAGGGAAGACATGTGATCCTAAACAGTCTAACTGGAGACAAATTTACTAACACTGAAAAGAGTGAGAGAATAATGTACTATTTCAGATCTGAAGGACTAAGATAGTTCTTTATATGTTAATGCCGATTTTGCCTAAGAAACTATCACATTGAAGTCCTATGAGAGCAGGTGAGTAGCAATGTATGACAAGGGTGCCTTTTTATAACAATCATTTCATTAAATGTTACTATCCAACTTTAACGTGTGTATTCATCTGATTTGTTGATCCATATATGCTTGTAGTATTCATTTCAACCTTTGTGGTTGATATAGACACTTGTTATCCTATCCATACTTTTGTATGCTGAGGGAACATTAAAGGAAGTATGACACTAATAAAATAGTGTTCTAAAACTTACTTTAGCTGACTTGTTGAGTATGTTCCTATACTAGGATAACTATTGGAAGAGTTGGTGAACCAAACTTGCTAGACAAATTTTCACTCCAAATCCAACTTGCCAGTGATATTATTTGTCAGACTACTATTTGACTTTATCTTGTATTAATCTTCTTTTAGGTATATGACAAACAATCTACTTCAGTGGCGAACTTGACCTTACTTCAACTAGTTTTCTAATCGTTGAAGGTTTTTTGTTTTTGGATCAATAAAGATAATTACATGACTTTTACAAAGAAAAATCCTATCTTTTTTTATTCCAAATTCTAAGTTATATATCAGATTCCAGCTATTGAATAATTTATGAAGTAAGAGTATCAGATTTTTAAACTAATTTTAGAATAAAATGTGGGTTCTTAAAAATCAAGATAGAAGGACTTGAATGACAAGTCAATCAGATTCTCCAAATTCAGGTGGAGACCGATCAAATCAAATATTTGATCTCACATTTTATCTGAGTTATAGATCCGATGTTTGACTAAGATCCAAAGCTTTGATCCTAACAAACTTTAAAGGTTCGAATGTTAATCCTTTTGAGTCATATCCGATGATGTTATTATCGGATAAGAATGTTACAAGACAAATGATAAGAATTCTTTCAAAGTGTTGAATCAGATGCTAGTTGTATTATTTACAAATCCAATGGTTGAGACCAACACTTTTCATTCCCCAGAACCTTCTCCTTCCCCGTAAACTTCCATTTCCTTAAAATCCTTCCCCTTCCCCTAGAATTCTTTAATAACGTTTTTTATGATTCCTTTTGCCCATTTCTCATCCAATCTAATAGCGCAATGAACATGCATGGTACTCTGGTCACTACTTTCTCCAGCAATTTTACCCTGAACTTTTATACCATGCCCTTAACATCTCCCCGTTTTTCAGCCTTCGAAGTGACCTTCACAATCCCTGGAGAGGATCCACATGACGAGTCCTTACCACATAAACCTATAGACCTTCTGGAATAATAAGAAACTACCTGTTCATTCTAGGTATAGAAACAACCAATGCTTTCTCAATCTTACCCCATATAAGCATAAACAACGTCACCATATCTATCCCTAGCAACAAAGTGAAAGCCAAAAGTGAAAGGCAACGATGTAGGTTCTTTCATATTCTTCTGACAAAGTAAAAGCCATAAGTGGCAACCTTTAACAATGCCAACCAAAGCTACTTAGCTAAATGACCTATATGATTACCGTTATTTAGCTAAATGACATTCTACAATGACCTACACTGTTAGCTAAATGACCTTGTATGACAACCTTCTACTATTTGAAGGTCATCGAGTTAAAATAGTAGAAACAAGCAAAAAGACGAAAATATCCTCAATTTTAACCTAGACAACAAAGGGTTATTAAGCTGAGAAACCAAATCCATAACAAAATGTAAACCTTGAGGGTTTCCCGATAATAAATATTGTTCAAAGACTAATTTTGTAATTTTCATCAATCTCTAAAGACCAAATATGTAATTTTACTAATTCACTGTTAACGAGATGTTTGAGATTGCTAATTTGAAACAACTTATGTTTTTCTATAAAATCATTTATCAACTTATTATAAATTAAAAAACTTTAACTTTTCAAATTTTTTTTATTATCAGTTTAACATCAATATAAATTATTTATTTAAATACAATATTTATTAATCAATAATTTATTTTTATAAGCAATACCAAACGCCCTGAAATTAGAAAAGGAAATTACCCAAAAGAAAAGAATGGGAAGAAAATGAGGATGTTTGTAAAAAGAGGAGTGTGATGGAGCGCGTTAAACAATAATACAGAGGGGAATGTTAATGGAGGAGAGAGAGCAAGGCAGAGGAAACGAGAGATGGAGCGCTGCGATCGCCAATCTCTCCGAGATATCTAACAATCTTGATTCCCTCGGGAACATACTCATCAAGAAAGCTGTCTACGTGGATGAAGATACTTTCAACAAAGCTTCCTTAACCTCCGATCAAGCCCGTAATATTAAGGTTTGTTTCTGTATTTTCGAATCATTCATTGCCTCATTAGAACAACTTGCTTGTTGAATTTCAATATAATCGAATTATCTGAGCTTCGATTTTTGTGGGTTTTATGCTTTTGATAAATTTAAGTGTTATTTCGTCGATTAAACCACCGGTGTTGTGATATATGATTGCAGCTGAGCTTAGTATTGGTGTGACAATTTGGTTGACTGAATTTAAACTTTCAATCACTTTGAACCACATGGTATCTTCTTTTATGCAAGTTTAATTAACCTAATTTGGTGGGAAATTTCATGTTTGGATTGAATTGGGGCTCTGTCATTGTCATGGAAGGCTGAATATTACTGATGGGAACATTTCTTCTCTGGAATTGGATGATCTCATCTTCTACAATAGGGCAACCACAAAGGGCCTAACATAATTATAAGAAAGCTGTTTTAGTTTGGGCATTCTATAGCTGATGATATTATGAAATGGGTTTATGGATTCTGAAAAACACTACTACCATGATAAGTTCCCATCAATTTTGGTCATCCTGGAATGTAGATTCCTTCACGGCATGTATTACCCATTGTTCCAAAAGTATAGATACATTGTGTAGGGAAATGCAGAATCCCTTTGAATCTCTCTGCCCTTATAGAGAGAGGGAGATTCCTATAAATATAGTTGTGGATTGGTCTGTGAGTAGTCGTTATCAGATTCCTACACCTTGGCTAGATTGAATGTCGAGTCACTAGAGGTGCTAGACGCTTGCTCTGATACTGTGTGAGAGTATGTGGAATCCCTTCGAAAATCTCTTCAAAAGAGAGTACTTATAGAGGGAGGGAGATTACTACATATAGGGGTGGGTTGGTCCGTGACTAGTTGATGTGGAACTCCAACAATTTAGACCTTCTGGAGCTAACTATTGAGATTCTACTGTTCAAATTAGATGTATATTGATTGAACTTATGACAGCAATGGAGATGGTAATATGTTGAGTAGTAGTTTGTAGACGTTTACAATCACTGCATCGGATATTTTAAATTCAAGACAACAGTATATCAAGTTTTGATGTTTTTTCTCTTGACTTTTAAAAGTCGAAACATAATTTTGCTAGTGGAGTAGTGGTTCAGTGATCATACCTGATCTACCAATGAGGCCCTATCGATTAGTATTACACAGAAGAAATCAATTATAGATACTAATACAATTAGATCCTCTCTTCATAGACAATTTGGGATTTGTGATCCCAGGTAAGATCTGTCCAGGATCATGGGATGCTTTTCTGCTCATCATTAAGACGTTGCTATGTTAATGCTCATTATAGGAAAATGTATCAAGCTTTAGCATCAGTTTTTTGGTTGTTAAATAGGACAAATGGACATAAAATGACTGTTACATGAAATACAGTACCCAAATAGATCTCCTGGTAGAGTTAAATTTGGCCAATAAGTATTTTACTTAATAATTTAGGGAACAAACAAATATTTCTCTCGAAATTTTTCTTTATTTATGTGTGTTTATTGTGGAGTTGTTACTGAAGAACTACTAGAAGGACCTTTTTTCTGAGATGACTATTTTGGGTGCAGGTTCTTGAACAAAGGGTGGAGACTTTAGAAAGGGAGCTGGATGCTGCCATTTCTGCTGCGGCTCATGCTCGTACAGAAAAACGTCAGGCTGAAGCAGGACAAAAGGCTGCGGAATTACGAGCACAGGAAATCACAAAGGAGCTGGAGAACACCACAAGTATGCACTTCACCTCCCCTCCACCTTCTCTAAACAAAAACAAATAGAAACATTGTTTAGATGATCCTACGTATTGTTAAACTCCTGAATCCTAGGTTAGACCAAGGTTCGTGAGCCAGCAGTTAGACCCCTGGATCCTAGGTTAGACTAGGGGTATGTAGTCCTTCCTATCCTACCTTGGTTATATTTTTCGGTTGTCATTTTTATTTTGGTTGCATACTTCTAACTCATTTTTTCAAATTTTAGCATTGTCTTTCTTGTTTTTCAATTGTTCTCCTTATGTTATTTTTCCGCATTTTTTTGCATACTACACATAAGTCGGGTGTCTTTGCGGAAACAACCGCTCTACTCTTTTGGGTGGAGGTCTAAGGTCCAGTCTGCCTACATCGCACCTCCCTGGGACCCCACCTTCTGGTGGGATATTACTGGGCTTGTTTACTTTATATATATATATATATATATATATATATATATATATGGCAAATACTCATGCACCCTCCTTATCTTTGGTGAGGTTTGAACCCAGGGCTCTACTAGTAACCCATTCCGCTAGGCCAACGACCCTTTGGCATTGGTTTACATGTTGTTAATGTCAGATTGTCATCAACTGTAAGCTCACACCTCTGATTTTGTATCTAAAGGAGGAACTAGGAAGTACACGTGAGTAAAACAAACCATTTATGCGATTTAACATCTTTCATTTTCATAAGAACATAATTTGAGGGCATTGAAAATGTAATTCTACTTGATCTAATGAGAAATTAAGATAAGACCCATGAAATGAAGGACCAGAAAGGAAGAAGATGATAGAGATAAATGATATCCATAGGTTCTAACATCTAGGATTGCATAAATATCAAATGGAACTGATTATTACCTCTAAAAAAGGACAAAACGTTTAGATTTCTCCGTATTGTATGATATGTGCATCGAGCCTCGATGTTATCTTTATGTGCACTCGAACATCATCAACCCTTGTTAACATTTCCATTATGTTGCATTGTTCTTGTATGCAGAAGTGTTTGAACTACACATGGAAGAATTGCGATCAAAGCAAGCTGAGATTTCGAAACGGGATAACGAGATTAAGCTTCTAGAAGCTATAATTCAGACACTTGGAGGAAAAGAATCAGCTTCACTCTAGTGGGTAAGATCTGCCTTTTGCACATCATTTATTCTCTCTGTTGCAACCTGTTTTCTTGTAAAACCAACATTTCAATCACTGTTAATTTGGCATTTTGGTATATACAAAGAGCATCTTCCCATCTTGAATAAAGTTGGACACATAATGTTCTAAAACATCATGTCTAGATTCAAAAGAGGTGCATATTATGGTAACTTTAGGTGTAATTTGGTGGTGAAACCAGTTTTCACCATTAAGCAACACAGATTTGAGATTCAGGGTTTTTCTGTGAGACATAAGTATAGTCAAAATACAAAATAACGGTCAGGACTGTGATTTGAAATAGCAGTTATTGCGGTGGTAAAGCGGTTCAAAAAATAGTGGCGAGTCATGTGGTATCTAACTTAATATAAAATTTTATTGAATTTTAAATTCAAAAGGTAAGTCAAATCACTTGCCACATCAGCATGATAACCGGTTAATGTTTCAACCGGTTACTCGGGTGCTTAAATATTTAAAACTTTACATATTAGGTACCAAAATGGAAGTTCCAAAGTACGTTATCCAAAATAGGAATCAAGTTAAAGTACGTTACTTTTTCATGCAATTTGCCCTTTTCAAATTTTTATGATATCTACAAATTTATTTTTATTCAAAAGTAAAAACATTATCTTTCTCAAAAGCACATAAACTTTATTATATCAACAGAGACAAAAAATAAAACGAAACATTAAAATGAAGATGTATCCCGTTGCTTTGCATCAGTATATTCAATATATATATGTATGCATAAGTAACATAACATATTATATGCATTAATTAAAAATATACTTTCAACATCAAAATATCAATTTAAACAAGTTTCACATTGTCAAAATAAGAAAAGTATTCATGAACGAGCTAATCGCAAGCAATAGGTGCAACATCCGACTCAATATCATCAAATACGTTCAATTCTTCGTTTAGGTTAGCTTCCCATTCTTCCCCTTCCCCAATGTGATCATCCTCATCATCCCTATAGCGCTCCTTTTTTACTTTATATACTTGGCCCAACTTGTTCATTACCTCTCATTGCTTCTCGTACATCTGACCAAAGGAGACAATCTTTCGCATCCTCAAACTCTTGGGAGCTCAACGTCAGTTGGAACCACCCAATTATCATTTTCTTCCACATCTCTCAAGAAAATAGGATCTGAATATTTGTTATTCTTAAGAGATTTGTAGTGCCTCTCTAGTCTTTTGTTGTATTGGATGAATACGAGATGATTCAACTTCTTTGCAAAAGACAATTTCTCTTCTTAGATTGCAATTGAAGTGACATTTAAAAACATTACTTGAACTAAAGTTTCATTTGAGCTAATATATTTTCCATAACAAAGAAAACTTAGGGGCCGTTTATCTAATTACTTACCCGGTAAGCGCTTATTCGTGAAATTCAACACTATCGTTTACTTACCGGATAAGATCTTAGTCCACGAAAACAGCATCGTATGCAACAATTTACCCGGTAAGCACTTACCGTGGTAAGAGTTGTCACTCTCACTTACCGGGTAAGACTTTTGGTCCTTGTTTTGCTCTTATTGAGTAAGATTCTTAGTCCTTACCATATTCATCTGGTAAGGTAACGTCACTTGATAAGTGCTTACCCGAGAAAACGTTTGGTAAACGACCCCTTACATGATCAAATGCACTTCAATTGCTTCCACAAGGTGAAGCGCTACAAGTTTGACTTAGAACACTAATAGCAAACTGTTGGAGCAAAGGTGTGTTGTCACGCCCCGATTTTTTTTTTCTTTCCATTCGAGTGCCGTGACGTCATTCTTAATAACTTATGTCATAAACAAAAATACGAACTTAAAATTTCAAACACACATAATATGTTTAACATAATTCGTTACATAATTGCGGAAGCGTAAAATACTTTAAAACAATCAATGCTAATTAAAATATCTAATCAAGCATG